ACACACACACACACACACACACACACATAACCCCCTCTCTCCCATTCAGTGAATCCAGATCTCTGGAACCATGGCCCAGGATCCATGTTCTTACCAAATTCCAGGGAATTCCTGTGCCAGGTAACTATGAAGAGCCTCACTCTGAGAAGAGGAGCCTTCTCCCATCTCCCACCCACATCAGCTGCCACAGGAGCTGGATGTGCTCAACACCCTGTTGACAGTCCCTCTTGCTTTTGCAGCCTCCAGTCCATCCACAAGAGTGATTCTATCATTAAGGAGGGGCAGGCTACCCACAAGTCAAGGTAGGAGGTCTGAAGCTCACAGTGAGTGGCTGGGAGGGCTCTCGCCCACTGGCAAGAGGAGCGGGAAGAGAACCTTTTTCCTTCTGACCTCATGGTAAACAAACGCCTTCCTTCAAGAGGCTGAGTGTGAGAATACAGGCAGTTATCCCAACAACTATATGTGAGAAATTTTAAATCCTCTAGCTATGGAGAGCTGTTTGGAGCATGTAACATGGGACTAGCCCTCTTCTTTTCTAAAACAGTAAAATAAATTTTATCAGGGCTGGTGAAATAGCTCAGCAGACTAAGCACCTGTTTAGGCAGGCACAAAGACCGGGGCTCGACCCCCAACACCACATGCCACTCGGGTCCCACCCCCAAGCGCACTGAGCCGGCCACTAAGATCGGGCATGGTGGCACATGCCTGCAATCCCAGTGCTGGGGAGGCCGAATACAGGAGGATCACTACAAGTCTGAGCTGTGTAGTGAGACCTTGTAGTAAATACATAATAAATTAAATAAATAAATACAATTTTGTCCTGCGTATTTGAGGTTTACAACTTGATGCCGGGGAAATCAGATGGATGCACCTGGAACACCTCGTGCTAAGTGAAATGCCCTTCCCTACTTGGGTGATTCGTAATAGAGAAGTAGAGGGCTTCCCTGAGCTACTTACTCACGTGGAGAGTATTCCTAGATCTCCTCTATATCCTTGGATTTGTGCTAGGCTTTGAGGTTTCAGTAGCAAACAAAAAAAAGAAAAAAGCCTTCTCTCCTGGATCTCACTGTCTGGGCCTTTTTTGCTCTATGGACCCTTTATCAGTTCAAGGAAGTCTACGGATTCCTCCCAGAAAGTGGTTTTTTACACATACCACAAATTACAAAGGACGACCCAATTTGGTCTTTAGCAAGACCTTATATAATAAGACATAGCAACAGGTCTATGCACTATTGTAATTTTGGATTAGTGTAAAGGATAAACAATTCTTCAAAGTTCTTCCCACAATTATAATCTGATATGCAAATAAATACCTGTGGTTTCTCTTTCAGTTAAAGGCTAGTTACAGTAAAGATGAAGGTCCATCTACATTGATGGACTCTTGAATTCTGCCCATACTTAAAAATCACTAGTTTGGGCTGGGGAGATGGCTCAGTAGAATAAGTGCTTGCCTAGTAAGTGCAAGGACCTGAGTTCAATTCCCAGTTCAAAAAAAAAACACTACCTTATGGTGGCATGAAACCTGTAATCCTAGTGCTTAAGAGGCTGAGAACAGGAGGATTACTACAGATCTGCTCTGTGTAGTGAGATCCTGCAGACCCTGTACTAAATATCAAAAAAAAAAAATCATTAGTTTAGCCAAGAGGGGAGGGTATAGCTCAGGGGCATCACCTGCCTGGCAAGCACAAGGTCCTGAGTTTGATCCCTGGTACCACAATAAATACATAAATAAATCACTAGTTTAATAAAAATGTCATGCATTTCTCAAATAATTAGCCATAAAATTATGTTTATGAAATTGTTATAAAGAAGATAGAAGAAGGGGTGGAAGAAGTTTTCATGCCCATTCTAAAACAAGGCAGAATTTGGCATTTAAGCTACAATTTGGAGAATAAAGAGTTGGCTTGTCTACTCTTTATTGAATGGCATTGAAACAGGTGCAAAAGGCCTGAGGCAGGAGAAATCTTAGAGTTTTCTGCTGGATGGTTTTGTATCTGTATATACAAAGTAGGATAGATATACAGCTACTTTCTCTTAATTCAATGAGAAGAAAGATTTGTACTAATAGTGTTTGGACAGGATATTATGTCTGCATCTTGTATTATGAATAACCACTACGAAGGCAACAATATGCATTGTATTAATTATTGAAACTGTCTTATTAATCAGTTTTGAAACTGTCTCATTGCTATTTGTTTCTCAATAAAATTAATTTTAAAAAAGAGAGAGAGAAATCTTAGAAGTACTGAGAAAAAACCACTGTGGCTGAAACTCAGTGAGGTCTAAGGAAGGGGGAATGAGAGGGATTTTGTTGTTCTGTTTGAGTCACTAGCTAATAATACCACTTTTCTCATGTCCTACCTCTTCTGTCACTGTCAAAATCCTGAAAGAAACACGAGGGAAGCAGGAGGCAGGTCAGAGTCCACACAATTTTCAAAAGATTCATCCGCAGGAATTGAGGGCAGTTAACCTCCCAGACTTAATTTCTGGGGAGTTGTATCCCATCTGGGTGGGATAAGGGTTTACCCATCACCTACCAGGCCTAAGACCTCTGGGAAAGTCCCATGGACTTCTGGGAAAAGCAACAAAAGTCAGAGTCAGAAAGAAAAGGCATAGGAGTCCTCAGACAGTCTGACCTGCAGGACCTCAGACACAAAGCACTGGAAGAAGCTAGGGGAAGAAAAGAAGTATAGGACAATGATGCTGAAGACCCAGGTCACTAAAAGGCATCAGAGAAAGACAGAGCAGAGAGATGGGCCTGAGTGGAGGTCAGCCTCTCTAGGAGCCCTGCCCCAGGAAGGTCACAGGGCAAAGTATCCTGGCAAGGCATCCAATCAGCCCACTCCTAGGGAGGCCAGACCATGTGCTCAGCTGACCACAGATGAGGACTCTGAGGACCCAGGATGCAGCTGCTCGCCCACAGACAAGGAAAGCCCTAGCTTGGGCTCTGAATCCAGCCCTTTTTTCCTCAAGCAGAGCAAAACTGGGTGCTTAAATCAAGTATCTGAGTGAGAGAATTCTCATGTCTGTGAATCCCAGCACTCCGGGAGGCTGGGGCAGAATGACTACAAGTTCTAGTGCAGTTTGGGCGTTTAGCAACCTGACATCTTGCACACTGAGATATCTTTGATGCTATAACAAAGTTGAAAAAGGACTGGGGGTTCTGGGGAGATAGTTCAGTGGTCTAAGTGCCTGCCTTGCAAGTGCAAGGACCCAGGTTTGATCCCAGGTACCGCATACCACTCCGGCCTTGGATCCCTAGGCACTCCAAGCCAGCCACCAAAACTGGGCATGGTAGTGCACACCTATAATCCCAGCCCTGGGCAGGCTGAGACACGAGGATCAGTATGAGTCCAAGCTGTGCACCAAATAAATAAAAGATTTTTTTTCCTTTTTTTGCAGAACCGGGAATGATTTTTTTAATTAAAAAAAAAAAGAAAAGGAAAAGAAAAGAAAAGAAAAATGGCTGGGGATGTAGTTTAGTACAAAAGCCTTGGGTTTGGCCCCTGAGGAGGAAAGGAGGGAAAAGATGAACTGCAGAGTCCAAGTGTATGGTCATGCTGTGTAACCTAATGTAGGGCAGGATTTGATCAGGTTATAAAAGGAAAAGAAGGGCCCTCCAGGCAGGGGATATGGCAGGAGGGAAGAGAGAAGGCCAGGGAGGGGGGGAGGACAGTCCCTGAGTTCCGGGACCTGACTCCTCGAGGCTTGCAGGTTCGCGGGGCCCACAGAGGGAGGCCACTTCTGAAAAACAGGCCCAAGGCAACACAAAACAATCTCTTGGTGTTTCAGTGAGAAATCCAGCACTACAAGCGGAGAAAGCCACACTCAGATAGTCCAGAAGAAGGGGAAAGGGTAAGCCAAGTGGGCAACGCCAGGCACCGCCCGCCCCCGCATGACCACACACTCCGCCTTCCCCTTCCCAGGGGTGGGTGGGTGACCCCGTGCAGACCAGACCCCCAGAAGCCGCGGACAGTGCACAAGCACAAGCATCCTGCAGGCCAAGGGGCTCACAGACATGGTGCCAAGCGACATGCAGACAATAGTGAAAAGTTCTTCTGCTGTGCCAGGCACTGTGAGAAGCATTCTGCATTCACTGCCTTGTTTATTCCTCGAAAGCAATCCTATGAGGCAAGGGCATGTTAGCCCATTTTACAGAGGAGCAAGCTGCAAGTTGCCCACCTGAAATATCACACCTGCCCCTACATAGCTGAGAAGGAATGGAGCTGGTACTCGAGCTAGAATCTCCCAGATCTGAATTCCACCTCGCTGTCTTTAACATGTGCCACCCCCAAAGATCAGCTTTCTCACCATGGGTTCACTTAACCCCTGAGCCTGATATTATTGGGGAAATCTATCTTTTCTACATCCAGGAGTGCGGCGGGACACTCCAGGCAAAGGCAGAGAACTCAAGGCAGTTCTTCTCTGTGTCCACAGCCATGCTACCCGCGACATCAGCCAGTTCAAGAGTGGGATCTGTAGCCTCATGAGGGCCAAGTTTTACAGCATAGCCCAGGAGGCTGGCTTCTGCCTGCAGGACAAGATGGAAATCCTCGTGAAGTAAGGGCGCGCCTGAGTCTAATTCACTTGCAGAACACTGACCTGTACCTGCTATGTGCCCATCAGGGGATAGGTGCTTGGGCTATGCCAATACCAACAACAGAGACAGGCTCCCTTCCCTCAGGGGGCTAAGAGTGTCGTGCAGAATAGAGGCATCAGCAAAATAACTGCATCTGGAAATATAAAGGTTCAGAGTTATAGATTAGATTATAACCATCCCATTCAGTAAGAGGACAGAGTACTATGTCAGGAAGTGATGAAATGGGAGAGGAGAGAGAGAGAGAGAGAGAGAGAGAGAGAGAGAGAGAGAGAGA